TGTGAGCATTGCCAGGTCCAAAATAGCTTTCCAGAGATATACATTTCCAGTAGCTGTCTGGTTATCGCCTATTATAGGTCATCAGGAAAGGCCTGGTTCCATAAAAAGGGTTTAATTTATGAGTGAAGGGCCAGCAAGGAGGGGACTGATTGCACCTCTATTAGGAAGGGAATTCCAGAGCTGTGGGGCCACCACCAAAAAGGCCCTTTCTCTCGTTCCTATCAAATGCATTTGTGATGGTGGTGGGACCCAGAGAAGGACCTCTCCTGATGATCTCAGGGCTTATATGCACTTGTAGCAGGAGATGCGGTCCCTCAATTCGGCTAGGCCTAAACCTTAAACCACTCTATACATCCAGTCTGAGTCCCTCTACGGAGGTTGAGAAGATCAGGATATAAAAGTTTTAAATAAATAAGAAATGTGTCAAGAAAAAGGTGCGTCAAACCAACCCTGACCAGGACCGCCTTCCACCTGGAAATAGATGTTCCCACTGTGGAAGATCAAGAATAGGTCTCCACAATCACCTACAGACCACCGCCAAGACCCTACACTTTGAAGGCTATCTTACTCGGACACAAGTGATCGCTGATAATGACAGAAGAGTTCATGCAGTCTGACGCCATTATGAGAGTTGCAATTTTACAAGGCCTTCAGCCTTCTCAGCTCAGCAATTCTGGTGCCCCACCAAAGTACAATTCCCAGGATTCTATAGCATTGAGCCATGGCAGTTAAAAGTGGGATCAAACTGCAATCTTTACACCCTGAGTTGCTGCCCCAAAGCACCTATATAATGATGATGATGACGATGATGATGATGATACCCGCCTCCCCTGATGGCTCACGGCAAGGTACAAGAAATGAAAAAATAAATGAACATAAAAATACAATAAATTACTAATTTTCGTACACACACATATAATATATATATGAAAATGTATATAGTCAGGCAGGGGATTTATCTCACCAACGGATAGGAGCATAAAAAGTACACATTTAATGGGACAATCTAGATACCATGTGCCTGGCAAAACATGAAGTATGTCAACTTAACTATCCTTAGGACTAACTTTATGTTGGCTATTTCTAACCCAAAATTCTTAAGACCAGAAGTATTTTTGGTCTCAGCATATTTGAATATACATAATGGGAAATCTAGGAGATGGAGCCCAAGCCCAAAATTCATTGATGTTTCATGTCCCTCTGTAGAGAGCCAGTGTAGTGTACAATAATGCACCTCATGCACATAGACTGACCGTTTAAAAAGTAATTTTGTGCACTGATTTCTTTTGTATACACTGAAATATCTCTCAGCCACTCATGTGGACAATTTTGGAACATTATGGATTTCCAAACAAGGATGAATATTCCGTATTTAATTTAAGCAAGTTGACCATCCTTTATATTAGTAACACGGGGACTGTCCTTCGATATACAAATATATATAGTATATATAATACTAATGTGTGTGTATTTATATACACACACACATTATCTGTGTATTTTAACTATGTTGTGCCCCACGTCAAGCCATGAGAAGAGGCAGGTAACGAATAAAAATTATTATAAGTTAAGGTAACATTTACTTTCTAATTTGTATACACATCTTCCTAATGGCAGCTATGTGACTTTCCAGAGTTAACGTTGAGCAGATCTACAAATGGGTAACTTACACTATTTCATATCCACATAGAAAAAGAGCCTTGTTTAATGGGTAAACCTACTATGCCATTTCTTTTGAGGCTGTAACATATGCATTAGCTATGTGACAGAGTATGTGTCCTCCTATTCATGTTAGCTTAACTAGTTGTTTTTTAAGATACAATATCATATTATACCCTAAAGCAGTGCTTCTCAAAGTGATGGCTGGCTCCCAAGTCATTAGCTGCCAGTCCCTGGAGAGTTTCCAGGAAATAAATAATGGTAGCCAATGGGCACAAATACAGCACTCATCCCTGGCACTGAAAAATTGTCAGTCATCTGCTTAAGGAGCAGTGCTTTGAAACAGGAAAATAGGATCAATATTCAGCTTAAGGCATCAGGTTGGCAAGAGAAGTGAAAGATATACATTTTGCAACTATGTGTCTAAACGAAGAGGTGATCCAAATTATATGAACCAGTAATGTTTTCCAAATTGCATTATGATGCATTGTTACGGAAATGTTGGTATTTTTATCTATTCTCAAGCACAGACATTTTAGATAAGCATGGAATAGGAAGTATTCAATTTTAATAATTTAGTATGCCAAAGATATTACTGAGGAGAAATTGCCTTGTTCCAGTACATTTATAGTGAAACCGAATAATAAAGCGTCTTGCTCAACCTCCCTCTATTGAAATTGGCCAAAAGGCATCAATGGAGATTCATAAGAATTCCTTAGAACTATCAACTGAGCCAGATGGGAATATATCAGTAAGAAGAAATAAAAAGAAATAAAAGCAATTGATATGTGGTACACAATATTTCCCCAAGCAGGCCAGGCTTAAGCTCACAACACACAACTGTTTACCTGCTGTGAGACAAGCAAGGCTAAGAATAGATGTTGAAATAAAGGTTCATTTATTAAAACCTCCAAGTTGCTGTCATGAATGTTTGAAAGTATTTTAGAAGGTATCATTTGCTCAATAGGACCCCCAGTTTGTACTATGCCACTGATAACACTGTCATGTATGTTCTTGGGTGCATACGAAGTTCTGTTGATCCCAGGTGGCATCAATTGCTCTTCACCATAGCAGATAAAGAGATGTCCACAATTGGTTGGCTTTTTTGTTTTTTTTTTTGTTTTACGCATTGAAGTATAATTCCGGTTTTTCAAGTTCATGATCCTGGTTTGTTCATATGTTGCTCTGCAAGTCAATTATATAGACTGAGGTTGACAACTAATAAAGTTGGTGAAAGGGGATCTACTATTGCAGAAAGACTTTAGTCTTTGTCTTACTAATTAAACTGGAAGACATGTTGAAAAAAAGGTTGTCAATGAACACATCTACAAGTCAATTTTTAAATCAGGATGCTCTACATTTTTATATTTACTCAATTCATTTAATGGGCTGAGTATGCAACTTAAATCTTACACTACAGAGCATTTAACATTTACAAGGTCCATACTGCCCGTCTTCATTGATGAAAACAGGCCGTTTTCCCTTTGTTTACAAACACCAGGAAATATGAAACTGTTCAATCAATGACTGAAAGCCAATCTATGGCGTACAGAACATGAATTCTAGCAACCAACAGTACATAATCTTTAATCCCTAATATGAATCAATTATTACCCAGACCTCCCTCTGCAACTACTAGACAGACTGGAGGAATAATCTATATATTCTGAATGAAAGGGGAGATTTGAAAAATAATTATTATATTTTTGTTTATATACAACTGAAAACCTGCAATTTTAAACAATTTTTCTTTTTACAAATTTAAAAAAACTTGACATGCTGAATAATGCTATGTTATGCATAATACTGATACTAATATCAAGCACAATTTTCAGTCTCAAGGTTTTTCCACACCTTGAGGAATAGAGTTTTGATCCCATGCCAACAGTGATGCAGGAAAACGTTAAGTGAGAGAAGAGAGTTCTATAGAAGACTGAGGAAGAGCAACAGCCTCTACTTGCTAGGGCATTGTGCTGGTGCCCTGTAAATGGAAATTACAATCGTAAGTACCACAAAAAGTGTCCCACTGAACTCAAGTAAGGATAGCAGCACGATCCTATTCCTGTTTACAAAAAGGAGTGTTCATTAAACAGGAATCTATACAAGACTGAAATTTTACTTGTATTTGCAGGAAAACGGTGGGGCATCTTAAAGAGAATTACTGAACACTGTACTTCCTCTAAGATCAGATTCTTGAAGGGTTTTTATGTGGGAACTTTCTTTTTTGCAAAAAGTCCAAGAAAAGAACATACAAAGCTTTCATTTTGTACACTAAAGTAACAATTGGTAAACTTTACTAACCTTCCAAGCAATCTTATCAGCATCAATTAGTGCAACAGTTTTGCTCACTAAACAAATGCACTGCATTTAGATTGAAGATGCCTTCCTTCAAAATTAAAATCTAAATGTCTCTTTAATATGATTTTGCTAGCAAATGAATTGCTGCGCCCCATTATTTGATGGTTTCAAGCAAAAACCTCTATATGTCAATCTTTTAAATTTAACTGTAATTTATGTTGTTGGGCTGCATGACCCGCAATTCTAGACAAGATGGCCAATGGCAAGGAATGCCAGCTCCTGCAATTCTATATCATCTGAATGGCCCATTTTAAACTCCTCATTTGAGATTTGAAATTACAAATTGATTTCAGTAGTACATTTTATGCATTTTAAAGAAATGTTGCCTATATTTTAATATGGCACATAACTTTGAACAGTGAATGTGATAAAGAAGAAGTCAGAGGGAATAAAGCAAAATCCGCATTAAGCATCCCTTTACTTAAAGGTCAGAAGTGAACTGTCAGTAGCTAGAATTGGCAGTACACGTATTTGTTTCAATGTAGTTATCATCCAGCTTGTTAACACATGCCCTGAAAAGTAGATTTATTCAAATGAACTTCCAATGCTACTACCACAGAACAGCTGTACAGTAACTGTAAATAACTTCTCGAAAGAATAGGTCAGTCCCATTAGAGTTAAGCGCACTTCAGATCAGATTCATTATTGAATAATAATAAAGTTCTAATTATTAAAACATTACTTTGCAAACATTACTGTTATAACAGTCAGACAGATAATAGTTTGTAATGACTACCACCATAATTCAATGTTGCACTGCTCATAGCAGAATTGGCAGTTCTCACTCCTACTGTTCACTGTGAAGCCTATGAAGGAGAACTGGGAAATCTTCTAGACTTGGCCTTTAGCCCTATAGGAGGTGCCAGGAATGTAGGATCTCATTCTCGGATGTGTCATATCTTGGCCCATTTCAGTGCCCATTGCCAGTTTCTTGTGGAAGGTCCTTGTGAAGGCTTATGGGTGTCTCTGATAGGTAGATAGCTCAGATCATAAACTGCTGTTCCTAATTCCTAAAAGGATTAAAAATCACCAAAAATATCAAAATATGTTAGGGTGATTTTTCAATTTGCATTTCTCTCAAATGTGGGGCAAAATTCAATTAAGTGTTCACCATGATATTAGATATTCTTTCAGATGTGGAAGTATACTTTGTTGTACATTACAATAAATGTATGTAAATGAGGTATCAAAATTATCTGCTTGTTTAGGGAAAAAACCTGATCAATCAGAATTTAATGAACATGTGTGGGGATACTTGTATTGCACACTCATTGTTCTAATATTTAGAAGTCTGACTCGGGTAACGTTTAGAAAACAGACAGAGCTATTGTGAGGAACAAGAAGGCACTGCCGATATGAGGTTGGTTCCAGTCATCATTTAGAGACAATTCTGTGCTAACGTCATCAACAAAAATGCCAGCATCTTCCCCAGCATCCATTTCATATACTATTCTCAGGTTTTCTAACCACAAACATGACACATTCATAGTAGTATTTCATCATAGACAGCTCATTCACAGTATATGTTGTCAAGACAGATTCATGCTCCACCTGAAAAAAAACACACACACAAATTTTATCATATTAGAATGCAGTTCACTAACAATATATTTATCGATGATCACTGTTTTAGAAATTTCTATCTTGTCCTTTAGCGGAAATTCTTCAGGTTGACCATTTTATGTAACCGAAAAACAATTTATAGAGCAATCACACATATGGGGAAGATTTTAAGAGCCAAATGTTTTTTTAAAATCAGCAGGACTAAAACAGAGTCTAAAGGAGCCACTATATGTAGAACATTCCTTATCCAAAATGCTTGAAACCAAAAGTGTTTGCATATACATAATGAAATATCACCAGGGTGGGGACGAGAGTTTAAACACAAAATCCTTTTGTTTTTCATATACCCCTTATACACAGAGTCTAAAGGCCATTTTATGCACAAAATTGTAAATGATTTTGTGCATTGAACTTTTTTGTACATTTGAAGCATCAGAAAACAAAGTCATCACTATCTTAGCCACCCATGTTTTGGATTTGGGAGCATTTTCAGATAAGGGATATTCCATCTCTATTACCATTTGATTAGTGTTATCACTAACCATAAATAAAACGCTTTAACTATTATTCAATTGCTTCCATACTGTAGTGATCACCATTTAGAATATACTGTCTTTAAAACGCATACATACCAAGAGCATCTTGGTTTAGCCAAATAAATAGACCACTACAGTATCTCAAAGTGTCCTTCAACTAGCTTCTATGATATTGTGCTTTCAAAAAAACCAGTACTCAAATATGCACAAAGGGAAGAACTAATGTTCTTATAAGTACAAGAATATGGGGTTGACTGAACTCTGATAGCAGTGATGGTGAACCTTTTAGAGATGGCGCATTCAAACCGGGGGGAGAGAGGGCACGGGGGGGGGGAGTAGGGGCAGACGGACGAGTGAATGAACAGGCAGGCAGAGGGCAAGCGGGCAAGCAAGCAGGGGGTAGGCGAACGGGGGGCCGGATGGCGAATGGGGGGCCGGTGATGGCTCACGTGTCAGGAGAGAGGATGCTGCATGCCCCTTCTGGCACATGTGTCATAGGTTCGCCACCACTGTCCTATGCTAACACTGAGTTGGATTTAACCAATAAAACTAGCTTTTCAGACACAAATTTGAGACATTGCAATCTACACCAGAGACTATAACCCTAGTCCTGGTTAAGTGATTTAGGGCTCACTGGGGGCAGGGGGCAGAGAAACTACTTATTTTACTGAAAGCTTCCCATTCTATTTAATTTAGAACCACTATTCATAAATCTTAAAACTTGAGGTATTTGAAGTGCTGGAAAGCATGTTTCTTCCCATTCCTTTGGTCTTGAAAGTACAGCCATGGAAAGAGACCCGTTCCATAATACTCAACTATAATTCTGCTGCCTCAGTTTATTTACTATAAGCTATTATGCACCTACAGGCTGGTTCCCTCTTCCTAAAGTTAGTAAGCTTTCTATTTGTTCCAGCCAGTGACATTTTAATGCCCCATGTTCTTTGTGGTCTGTTTCATTACCATGTTGATATGCATTCAATCACCCGAGTTCAGCTATAAGCATATGAGGAACAAAAACATCATCATGACAATATAGGACTACAAGACAACAATGAAAGGCAAACTTGAGTGAAGCATTACTTGAATTCCAACTTGCCATTATCATCATTTAGGACTATAACATTATAAAAGGCTTTGAGTGTTTCTGACCTTTGTCTTCCTGCTAATTATACATAGATTTGTGAAGGTATCTTTTTGTATTTTCTATTGCACTATGGTTTTTTGTGGCTATTTCTTGTATTTAAAATACAATTCTTAAAAATATATAATAAATGCTTACCTCTATATGGAATCCATATTGTAACATTACATTTCTTATGTCTTCATAACTCAGCTCAATCGATAATTCATTTGCTAAATTTTCAAAGTGATAGAGCAGAGGACCTATGACATAGCGGAAGAATAAGGAAATTCAGTTAAACAAATCTCTCATGCAACCATAACAATAATAATAAAATACATTTTAATTTATATTCCACCCTATCTCCCCAAGGGGACTCAAGGCGAATTCCAACAAACAAAAAGACAAACATTCAATGTCTCAATAACAATAAGTACAAGTGTAATAATCCAGAATAACCCCACATAAAAGGCCAGCTAAACATGATATCTTAGATAAAAACATAATCTATCAAAAATTATAACTAACATAAAAAGTGAACACAAGAGATCCGAATTACTTTACAAAAGCCAACAAAGGTTCAAAGGCAATAACCTTTGGGCAATAAACTCTTCCCATGCCTGTGCTACAGTCATTACCATATTTGTGCATTCTGCACAGTATGCTGGCAGTTAGGTTGTGAACAACATACATTTTGGGCATTTTAATGCAAACTGTATAACCTGCTTTTAAATATTTTCACAAATTTGTCATCAGCTTATTAGCATTCCTATATTGAATCTGCTGTTATCAAATTATCTAGGCAATATCTTCAAAACAGATTGGCATTAGACAATAAAACATGTGAAAACTTAAAATTCAATTAGTTTCACAGTTGAAGGGAACCTAGTAATTTGTTGTAGTTGCAGCATGTGTTTTTGTTTTTACTTTTGGAGACCCTAAGGCAAACTTATCACAGTATTTTCATGGGAGAATGTGTTCAGAATGGGTTGCCCTTCCTCTGAGGCTAAGAGTATGTGATTTAGCCAAGGTCACCCAGCGGATTTCTGTAGCTGAGCAGGGATTCAAAACTTGATCTCTAGAGCCACACCATTATACCATATTAGATCTCGTAAACTGGTAATACACCAGGAGTTCTTAATGGAGATGTTATAGCCTTTAGTGCTACAGCAGGCATGGCCCTCTGGGAGCTTATGTCCAGTCCTAATTTTCCCTGTTCCCTGGGCATAAGGACATAGTAGCCCACAGGGTCCTCATGCTGAAAGGACAGGGGAGGAAGGCTCTGAACCACCTGGAGTGCTCTCAGTTGCCATGTGTCTCACCCTCCTACCCGGTATAAGGATGGGAGGACAACCCGACCTCAGGGCGTTAACACTCCCCAGCCCAGCCCATAATGCAGCCCCAAGGCAAAAAAAACTTTCCCCATGCCTGTGCTACAATCATTACAAAGTGCAATTTGTTATATCTTAACATTTTTAAAAGGTATAGCAAATTACCTAAATTTATCCATATTCCTCCTGGTTTGAGTATTTTCCATATTGTATCAATGTAATCTATGACATTATGTGCTGTGTCTATGAAGAAGCAGGTTGCTACACAATCCCATACATCTGTATAAAGAAAAAACAAACGTGGTCTACTCATAAATCTTTATTAGATTTCACTTTTTTAACAAATGCTAACAGTATCAGTTAGAATGGAAATATGAAATGAAATTTAGAAACAGGAGCTTCCCCTTCTAAAGGGTTTGCAGCACTGTTACATCTATTTCCATCAGAAATGGACCTTCCTGGTTACAGCCTATAACTATAGGTAAAGGATTTTCAAAATCACAATGGAAAAAATCACCCCAAACTGAATGAATATTCCTACAAGGATGGGGTGGAGTTAGCAACAAGAGGGGCTTGCTGCTTTCAACCACACCTCTAAAAGTTCATGACAGAGCTATGCAATGTCAAATGTGAGTGTCAGAATATTTATATTAAATTTGAAGTGGAGGTCCATGCCAGAGGGAACTTTTCCTAAGCAAACCAGGATTGTCTTGTTTGTTGTATTCCACAACGTTCTGGCCTCTCGAACACAGTAGTGGAAATATAACAACCTTATCTCCTGACTTCATTCACTGTTATATCTTTGTGGGTGAGAATGGTAATATTGTACTCTAGATTATTTCCAGCAAAAGAATGATCATCTTGTTTGAGTCACCTTGTTCAAAAAGCAAATGAAAATCAACTTTATTTAGAACTATAAGGTTTCAAATATTATTATACAACAATTTCTTCAAAAGTGCTAACTTATTTTTTTAAGTGGAATATATGTAAAAAACATATCGGTCAGAAGATAAAAATGGGTGAATATTTCATTGTCTTATAAACTTTTATCACGCAAAATTCTGTATATATATGTGGTTTCCTTACTTACTACACTCAGAGTAGATTTCTTGAAAATCGCCTGCCGTCATAGAAAAATTTGCACCAGGAGGAAGACTGTGAGGGTCAACATCAGGGAAATAAACTGGCTGTATCTGATCAACAGATCTCTTGTTATTGCTAAACTGATGGATCCAGGGATATAATTTATATGAATTTGTTTCACAGCATCTGAAATATAATCAAATACAATTTTACTGTGCCATTTACCATACAATATTACAAACATTATTTTTATCTTGACTCTTTTTATAACACAATGTTTCAGTTTTAACAGCTGTCTCTGAAATCATTCCTCCTTAATAACATTTGATAAATGGTTATAAAAAGAGCAAGAAGTCAAAATCTGAACCAACTTCAGACAATATCATCAACAGCCTAAGATTCTTAATGCAATAACTGTTTCACCAGTTTTTCCAAATAAATTCAACATAAATATATTAGTGGCCTACAAGTAGCAAATATATTTATTCACGAACCTACTTCTGAATTCTAATTTATCTCTCCAAGACAAATCCCAGACATTTGTGTTGGATGTCAAGTAAGGACATTCGTTGGTCACAGGCAAGGTCTTACTTAACTTTGATGATTTCATGTTCTTAACAGTTTGGTCTATTAATATATATAGAGAGAGGGGGGGGGGGAGAAGTGTCCAGTTCAGATACAATGAATTTGAATAGATGGGCTGTTGGCCTTTGCATTAATCATGCAGACTCCTTTGTGGCCTGTCCTACCAAACTGTGCCTTGCCTCACAGATAATCACCAAAAGTTGTTTAAACCACAGTCTCTTGAGCTGGCTTTAATCAATCCCTGCTTATTAACTATGAGGACAGAATCAAATCCTGGTAAGTAGGCAAGAGGATTAAAATCAGTTTTCTGGCTTAACTGTAACTGAAAGCTGGAGTTTAAAGAAACACCAGTGTTAGCACCAACTGGGTCAAACATAGAACCAGGAAAAGAAATAAAAATAGTTTCAAATATGCTGGATATTAGAGGTTTGGTGATATTTGCATCCAGAGACTATACCCTTTTCTCAAGGTACCATGATTTTTAAGATTATGGCCAGTTTGGTAAAAGGAATGGGTATTTCACCAAAACCATTTTCAGATTAAAATCCAATTACTATGTTTTTGAAATCAAAGTCAACATGTTTTAGAGGAAGACTCTGAAAGACAGAAATATTAAAACTATGCAAGGTTAGATGTGAGAGAATTTTTGGAACTGGACTTGAATAAGGCAAGAAGCTTTATGGCAGTCTGGAATATAAGTAAAGCCTATATGAGGGGAAAATTTGTAAAATATAGCTCAGAGAGAGAGGTGCAAGAACAAATTAACTGCAGAAATTAAAAGGTTTAGAATGGAAACGTAAAGAGAAATTTGAGAAAGACTCAATAAACATGTTATTGCTATAGAAATTTTCAGTGTTAACAATCCAGTAAATGAGTGCTACATTATCATATTTTAAGCATAATAATTTTCAATTTGCAAACAAACCTGATAAGTGGCTTTTTTATAAATTGAGATTGGAAAGGATGAAGAAAGTAATCACGAAAATCAAGGTGGTAGGTCAATACAGAACGGATAATGCAAAGAAAGTGAAAACCTTCTGACTACATCAGAAGTTTTTATGTGAAGGGCAAAAAATAATCCCAGATAAGAAAGAATATTTAAATAAATTTTAACTGGATAAATTATGTTTTGAATAAAACCAAAGCTTGAATAGAACTGTGACTATGATCAAATTCATTGAGGTGGTCAAAAATACTAAATTTGGGAGAGCTCCAGGCCTTGTTGGATTACACTGCATTATATTATATAAGAAAGTTGAAGACAAATGAGTTCCACCATTCAAGGTGTTTTGTGAGTAAAGGACAGATCTCAGACTACTGAAAAAAATGGTTCTATTACAGTGATATTTAAAGAAGATAGAGATGAAACACTAAACTATAAATTAGAGACCTATTGAACAATAATTGTAAGATTGTCGCCTCTATTTTGGCAAGTAGACAAAGCAAGCATATTACTCAGAATATTCATGGGGATGACAAATTTATACCAAAAAGAGAATTAATTGGTAATGTAAGGGATTTTCTGGATATTACTGAATATCTGGAAAAATGCTGATTTTTCTATTTTTATTGGGAGGGAGGCACAAAGAAGTTCGCCCATGATATGTCTTCTCCCCCATTTCTTTCTTTCCTTGTCTTCCTGAACATTTAATATTTTTTGCATTCTTGTGTTGTCCAAGTTTTAAAAATTAAAAAAGCATAACAAGAAATGAAAAACAGCAGCCAAATATGTTTTTATACCTGTTAAGAACAAAATTAGAAGAAAAGAGCATAAAGAGGCTCCATTCATTTCCTTGACAAGTATAACCAAGCATAGCTATTTCCCAGGCCAATCTACCTAGTCCAGCACCAGGCACCAGGATATTAACTTTGGAGAGGTCCCTGAAACACAACAAAAATAATTATTAATCCTTTTAAAAGTATATTTGATAGAATGAATTGCCGTGGTAAATGTTACCCCATCTTCAACCCCATTTACCTCCACAATTCCCCAAACCTGGGTTACATGTATTTTGACAACCAAATGTCTAAACTGGATACTACTCTACTTTCAGAAGACATATTCAATATAATCTCTGAATTTGCTAATATAATCATCACATTTTCTTCTGTCTTAAAGGGATCCTGTATGTTTTAATTAGTGCTGGAGAAACCTGTGAATAATTATTGCCATTTGCATTTTCAAAAGACAACATACCCATTATTTAATTTACTTTATGGTTGTAATACCGTGTTTTTGCACTTTTAGCTGCACTCTGTACAAACAAAATTACAGAGCAATCCTAGACATCTTTATGTAGAGTAAAACCTTCTGAAGGTAATGGCTTTATTTAAAAGTAAATATAGTGTTGTTGTTACTTAGCCAGCAGAGAACTTCTTTAAGATCCGGGGACTGCAGACAAGCCTTCCCCATGTCCCTTAATCAAAACACTTTATTCTAATATACAGAAGCACACATTTTTGTTTGGCATTAGGCCTCTCTTACTGTATCTGAAATTGAGTTTATTATGATGTGACCTTTAGGTGGTCCAATAAAAGGAATACCCTATACTCATATACTCATATATAAATCTAGAAATTTTAGCAACAATAAAAAACAATTAAAAAAAACAGCCAAAACACCCTGGGTCAACTTATACACAGATGTTTTTATGTGAAGGGCTCTGAAAAATCCCATTAGAATAAAGTGTTCTGATTAAGGGACATGGGGAAGGCTTGTCAGTACTGTACCTTAATTCCTATCCTTAAAAAAGTACATCCTAAAAAAACCCTAAAACAACCACTGATCCCTCACAACTCTCTCCTCAATTGTGCTGGCCTTTCTGAATGCCTGGGCAGAGAAATGGTGGTGGTGGCCAGGAGTGGTTGGCCTCTGAGTCAGCATTGGTGCTTTCCCCTCTTCTCGGAATAATCCTTGATTTATCCATGGATCATCTCAAAATCCATCATTTTGACCCCCAAAACCTGCTCCCTGTTTATACATAAATAGTCAACTTATATCTGACTATATACAACACTTCTGCTGCTGTCTGCATTCACTTTGGAACACTGTCATCCAGCACAATGTTCCAATTAATTCAGCTTTTAAAAGTGTCTTCAGAACTAGAACTCCCCAAGATCTACAGAATGATACACCCAGTATTTCACTTCAGCCATTAATTCAGCTGAAGGAGCCAGTTTGTGTCTATCAATTCTTCACACTCCATGAAAATTTTGCCACAGCTGAGAACACAGAAGTCACTGACCAATGGAAATATAATCTGAAGCTGAAGTATTGAGATTTAGCAAAATGACATGTCTTAAATAATGAAACAAGTGAAATGCTAAGTGACACAAGTATATTGCAAAACAAGCAAATAACCAGATTTTCAGTTTTTCAGGCACATAATGCTAAGAAATGTAAATCTTCCAATATTTCATAGGAATAGTTAAAATGTTCAACTGTAATACTTCTCAGCTTGTGTAACCGCCATCCCATTGTAGTGAGATCACTAAAAAGGATACAAAGTTAAACCAAGTTGCATCCATTAATGTTAACAACAAAATGTCATTCTTAAGTGTGATCACTACAAGTACTACTGAGGACCGGCAAGAAATAAAACAAAGAAGGGTGCATCATGTTTAAAAACTAAATGCACAATATCTCAATTACTAAATGTTTGAAAACTATAGGCACAACCACAAAGGTTTCAACTTTCTGGAAATTTAATCAAACCTGATAATTTTTAAACACATTTAAAACACATTTACAACTCCTTTAGGGCTAATGTGGCCCTTTCGGGGCTTTCCCAATCATCACCCTCCTTTCCCTAGGTAGCCATTATTTCATGGTTTCCCAGATTATCTATGGTATTTTTCTCTGTTCTAAAAAAAACTGGAAGAATTTATTTTAGACCAAGCTTTTGTATGTTTCAGAGCAAGAAACTTGCAAAACTACCTCTCAGTATTCCTTGCTTGGGAAAACACTATGAAATTCATAGGGCTCACTTTAAGTCAATAACTGACATAAAAAACACACACATGTTGCTGGCTACAGGAGTATTAAGATAAAATATCCCACCCAAAGTAAAATCTAAGGGTAGTATACATGCACAAATAAAAACAATCTGAAAACTTGATCATGGAAAAGTAGAGACTATTTCAATTAGTTTAAAAGAATATTAAATAATTACCAATTCCACCATTTGGTCTATACTTTCAACCATTATTAGAAAGCAGGCCTGACAACTTCCCTGAAATTGAATTCAGCTCTCTGCTTCTGTCCCACACTGGCCTTGCCCTAATGTGAACCAGTGTAAATGGTTACAGATTAATGTTTTCTAATTCTTATATTGTCTTATTCTGTTATCTCAACCAACAGGAACTTTTGGGAAACACAAGGGACTGCAATACATTAATTTGGGGAAGTGATCAGGGGGAAAAATCTACCACAAAGAGAAACTTCTCCCAATGTTCCTGCCTGGTTGTTAAAATCATCTTTGAAAGTGCTCTTTTGGGTGCTTTCCAAACTACCATGGAATGGAATTTCTTCAGTTGATAAGGAATGTCATCCTTAAGGAGGTCTCCTCATAATATTCATTTTAATGTCAGAACACACACCCTCCCCAATTTGACAAGGATTCAGACTTTAATTTGATGTTTTAATGATTGGGGAGAAGATTGATTGTTTTTGCTGGGTTTCAAATTTGCTATAACATTTTAATACTGTAAACAGCTCTTTTATAGATGTCTTGAGCTTCTGGCTGAAGTATACCATACTATTGCTCTGGGAGACCTAACAATACCTAGGGAAGTGTTTTCTCTAGGCCCCAGCATGATCCAATGGTTAACTTCCAGTGGAACACGGCAAAAGAATTGCATTGCAGGGCTAGAGCAAAAAACACTTCTTTAAGCATCACTAGGTCCTTCACAGTAATTCTATGCTACTCAAAGCTCTTTGTTTACATATAAAACTGAATTCAACAAGCTTCTATAAGAAGCAGACCCACTGTATCTTTCAACTGCCATTAAAATATTTTCAAGAAAAACCTTCACACTTCAGACTAGTGTTTACTGGATCAAAATAATGAAAAAAAATCTATAATCTAAATGTTATATATAGAAAATCCTCATGAATGCTATTAAGTGGGCTGAAAATACATAACTACATCATAACTAAAAATGATTAGAAATATTCAGGATCTCAGAATTAAAAAATTGATTGTAGTTCATTTTTAAACATTTTAAAGCAAAATCTCTGGATCATTTCCTGTTAGAAAATATGCCTAGGATATGATGGGGAAGACAAAAAATGGCCAAATCAACATACTCCTTTTTCACATTACACTGTGCCATTCATGTGGCTCTGCATTCACATTTTGCAGCTAGCTAATTTAAAAGTATCTGCATTAGAGAGAACATTCACTGTTCTGAACTGTAAGCATTACCCTGTATCTTCCTATACAACACATAAATATTCCATCCAAACACATGGAAATATTCCTTTTCCCCGCTAAACAAAACTAGGTGGAAGATTTATTGACAAACAAACCCTTTGATTTAAATGTATAAAAACTTACCGTAGTTTTTTCTATAACTGAAGACATTCTTGAATGCCTTGAATCTAACAAGGGAAGGGTATTCATGTTACATTTTGAATGAGCTCTTAAGCCTTTACCTTTTCAAAATCTCTCTGTGGGCTAAGTAATTTAGCAGCAATGATTTAAAACTAAATTCAAAGCGGGAGGGAGCAGAACCGCTTATTTCAGTGTGCCAATCCCAGTTACAAACAGAATTCTGCCACCAGAATCACATTAGAAGAGACATAATGGCGTAGGACTGCCATGCAGTTAATTACTACTGCCTAAGGAAGCCCAAATAGTAAAAACAGCTTGCTAGTTTCATAACTTTTTCAAACATGTATTTGTGCTTTTCATGAATACGAAAAGCACAAAGAGGAAAAGCATGATGTTAATTACAGTGTCTCATCCATTTCTTTTTGACTTTGCTTGAAGGATATCTTTCTACCGCTGTTCCAATATGTGCCTTAATTTCCTGCAAGATGTATTTGAATACACTGTCCCTTTAAGTGTCTGTTAAGATTTGCTCTGTAATTGTGAAACACTGACTATTTTACTTCACAACAATAAGCTGAACCAGAATATTTTATAATCCATTTTAGTTTTGATTCTATGATATTTCAAAATAATGCTTAAACAGCTATTTGTATATAAATATATTCTTGAACATGGTAAAATATAAATAGAATCGCTGACAGGAGAAATCTGCTTGAATGAGATGTTTGGATACTTCCTTATGAATTTCTGCATGACTTTGTGTACCAGCTCCCAGTTCAAGAACTCATGCCAGACCCCAAGGAATCTACTGCCAGTTAATGGACAGCTTTACCAGAAAGAAAGTTGTAGCTAGTGGAGTACAATGCAGTGCCAGTTCAAAATAAAATGAAATAAAATGTTATCCTCAATTGGCAATTGAGCTTTCAAAACAATGAGCTAGAGCCATGGTCTATGAAAGAATTACTAACTTGGTGTGGGGTCAAGTCAGAAACCATTTATATTGCTATAAACCCTACAAGCACACGGGCAGGAGATTATGAACAAGGAGAACAAACAAGGACACCTTACAGGGATGTGAGTGGGAGTCCTGGGTCACAGGATGAAAAATAAGAATTTTGTGAGAGTTACTACAGTGACTTCTAATGTATGTGCCATTTTTTTTGTTTTCATGCCTGTGGATGCAGAAAGCTATACTTGCAACAAGTGAAAGCTAATTACCCTGCTGGAAGATAAGATGCAATAACTTCAGGCCTGCCAATCCACACCAGCTCATCAGGAAAGATTAAGAGTTTTTGGCCTAAGAAGGGAGAGAAAAAGACTACAAGTGAATAACTGGACAGGCAGATAATGTTATCAGAGAGGATTGTGCTTCTTGGACCACTCTGCCAAGGGCCAATAAATTCTTCACTTGACCTGCCGAGAAAGTCAATTTCCTAAAGATAGGAGAAGCGGCAAAGGAATGACAATCTTGGATCCGATTCTCACCAACAAATAAAAACTGGTCAACAATATGTAAGATGGAGGTGAACACATCCTTTTGAAATTCATTATACATATAAAACTGGACATGCACTTAGGATTTTAAAAGCCAGTTTCAGTAAACTTGAGGAAATAGTGAGTGAGATTGCATGGTAAGAAATAACTCAAAAATAAGGGAGTTTTCAAGGCCTATTATTAAAAAGTGAAATAAGAAAAGTGAGAGAACTAGAACAATCTATGGAAAGATTCATAAGGAGTTACTGGATAAGTTGAAATTTAAAAGTGACATATACAAAAGAAGAAAACAACTCAGTAAAGAACTGTAAAAATGAGGATGAAATATTTGCAGGGAAGAAGGATGGCAAAGCTAAACCTCAGAAAGGACTTAGGCTTGCAAGAGAGTATAACAATAATAAAAAGGGGGATTTCTTCTGTCTGGAGCAAGGAGGACAGGAAAATGGCACATCTACAAGATGGAGAATTGGTACTGAATGGAAGAGAGAAATCAGAATTATTTAATAATGCCTTTATCACGGTCTCCATGAGAAGATGAAAAAATATTTATTTATTTACTGTCCTTCTCAGCCCGAAGGTGAATTTGACACTTGGGTGAATTTCTAAATCCTTGGTGGAGCAAGTCAAATGAATGCTCACCTATAGCTTCTCATACTCCTGGAGATAATTTATAATATGTGTATTTCAGGGTTTTGTCCTGGACCCAGTGTTGTTTCAAAGACAACAAATTCTGGATGTGGTAACATGCCTACAAGGGATTTTTTTTTAGGTAAAGGGAAATAATATCACTCTATTCTACCTTGATCAAACTCTCCAGCTCATGTCGCAACATTTTAAGAAAGATCTCAACAAACTGGAATGTGTCGAGACTAAGGTGAGCAGTATTTCTTTAAATATTTTGATCTCATCACTAGATCTCTATCTAGTGTATCCAGAAATCAAGCTGTATGTGGAAAGGTTAAAGGAGACAGTTCGGTTTAGGTTATCGAAGAAAATTGAGAGTTAATATCATAGCTATGTTTAAAGAACTGGGGGATATTATGTGATATATGAACTATATTTGTTTTCACTTGGTCTAGGTGGCAGACTTACTTTGGAATTTGGTAGATGCTACTTCATTGCAAATTTGTATACAAAGATTGCACCACCACTTCTCAAAGATGGATTCATGAATGGCAGGGATTTGGCAACATAGTTTAGGTAATACCAGATTCTATGATTACAAGTTTATACTTGCTACTTATCCACAATTTTATGCTATCAAATGTAGTGTTGTCACCCACTCAAAAGTTTTTAATCAAAATATCAATCTGCTGAACAGCCTAAACTTTAGGGATTGAAGTCATACTATAAAGATGTGACAGATTGACAATTCCTCCCTTTCTGGTTAACCTACAAATTTTAAAATACCAGTTTAAATAGTAGTTAAGGTTTTCCCCCTTCTGGTTTGAAATAAGTTATAACAAATGTATTAGTGTATATTTAGCCCTTCAAGTAAGTCTCCCAAAATATTTACCATCTGTCTTTTGGAAAGTTCTTTACAATTTCATTGATGATTGGCTGATAGCAGGAATCTCTCTCAGGCTTTCCGGTTTCACTCCAATCTCTTACAAATTGTTTCAAAGTGGACTTTAATTTATCCATGTCAAATGTTGAGGCTGGTATAATTCTTTTAGTATCCTAATAGAAATGTTTTAAAAGTTAGTTGAAGTACCAATCCAAAAACCAAGAAAAACTAAGTAACATTTCTGAGGCAAAGATCAAGGTAATAACCAAATCATAAATGAAATAACTGAACTGCTTAAAATAAACTCTTCTACAATTACCACTAAGATAAAAAAAATACCCCAAAAGTAATTAAACACAAATCTTAAAACAAACCAAAAAAACCTGGTGTAGGAGAATGAACAAGTCTTTTATTAAAAAATCTTATAAACCTTTATAGGAAGAAAATGTGTAGTGATTGAATGTTTATGTTAAAAACGATGTTTAAGAAGTCAGCCTCAAATTGCCATACCTATGTTTGTATCTTTATAAAAAAAAATTAACAGTACTATAATAGTCTTTTTCGTACTACCAGCTGGTTTAATCAAATTATATACTAGATAACAAAGAGGTCTTGGTGCAACAATATCCATATGCATTAGTTATTAAAAATAAAATAAATAAAATCTGAATACAGCTGAGAAAAAAAATTAAACCCACATCATCACCATATTCTTTATTTTCAAACATGTTGGTGCAGTCGTTCACAATTGTCTGCAAGATGTCTTGATTGTGGTCAATACATTTCCGAATCTTGTCAAGATGAGGCAGAAAATGAGGGAGCAATCTCTGCTGAACCGCTGGAAGAGATCTGAACTGTCTCTCTGCACGATTCACTCTTTCATGCATATTAGTTCTGGAAATGAAAAAGGTAACACAAATATTGGAAACTAACACACACAGGGTATTATACTGAAATCTTCTATTGCCATTTTAATGTATGTATTTTAAGTAATTGTAATTTTGTATGTTACTGTAGATTTTAGAATAGAATAACTTGCCACTGTACATTGTACAATGAAATTAAATTCCATCCCCAATACACATTATATATGTAGAATATATGTAGAACAAAACACCCATCCTTCCACATTCTAGCCACTATTTCACAATCTCTAGTGCCACATCAGTATGAAACTATAGTTCAGTATAATCACAACTCTGGGATAGAAGCAATCTCTCAACCTATTTGTCCTTGCTTCTATCTTCCTATACCGTATGCCACATGGTAATAATTCAAAAGAGAATATCCAGGGTGAGATAGATCCTTAAGTCTATTCTGAGCTTTTTTAAGTCAGTGGGAATTATAAATTTCTTCCAAAGAGGGGAGAGGGCAACCAATAACTCTCAGAGCAGTAGTGGAAATTATATTTGGTGCAGTTTATTATTTTGCTGACTACCCACGAGAGTTATTGGACAATACAGAAATAAATTAAAGAACTATAGATATTGAATTAAATAAATTGAATACATACTAGGCTTGGCCTACGCAGGCAGGGATGTGCAGTTTTGTTTCTTTGCTATTACAACTATTAATTCATTGCTTTCATTTTATATTTTAAAACAAGAAAATAATGGTTCACAGCAATGTGAAGAAAGAACCTATAAGACATTTTTAATTTATAGAAAAAAACCCTGATTTTTAAAAACAGAAAATGGATTTTTTTTCAGGAAAAAAACAGACATTTTCAGACACAATTAGGAAACAATCAGAAAAAACAGAAAGTTGCCCTGTTACTTTAACCGCTTAAAACATTACATACACATTGGTTTTGCATAATACTATCATTTTTTGGTTTATGAACTGTACATTTTATTCACAAAATAACTTCAAATGAGATTTATTTTTCTTACAGATAGAGACAACAAGGCCCTGAACTAAATAGAACACTTAATCTGCTTCAGCTTTGGCAGATTCATACAAAAACAAAGCAGTAACAATAGAAGAAACAATCATCATTAATAAAGGAAAGAAAACTCTTTTGTCTCATCTAGTCCTGTCTAGTGCCAAGCAGATATAAAACATCCCTCAGAGAGAGAGAGAAAAAAACAGGATCAGGACTTACAAAGGTCTAATATCATAAATCAGTGCTTCTTAGGCTATCTGGTGTGAAGGGATTGCTTTTAAACATAATATTACATAAATGTTGACTTGCTATATCATTTTTAGAAACAATATGGTGAGGGGGAAAAATACATCTACACCTTGTCTTAAATATAGGCTTCCATCGCCTTTGGATGCCTTGCTTTCTGTTGACTCACTCTTTCATCACTTGCAAATTACAGACAAGTTACAATAACTTGTTGAGGCATCCACTCTTTTTGCCAGTGATGATGCCGAGAATGAACAACTGCGCAGACAGGAAAATCTGCCTGAATAGTCCTGTTCCTATATAGACACCATAATTTCTAAATCTGTATGAGTCTTCTGTGTATATTTGTCAAGTTTTAGTAACCATGTTAAGCCAAAAACAAATCTTAAAAATAACTGCAACTGGAGAATATCTCATTAGGTCTTCTGTTGCAGAGTCACCATCCTGCAAATGACCGAGGCCAGGGAATGTTTGTGCACTGAGAGAGGCATCTACTGACAATAATTTGAAACTACATGCCCCACACATTCAAAAATAATGTCATCGGTGGTTGGAACAATGAGGGCTTTGCTTTTTGATAATTCAATGTACACAAGTGGATAACCTATGCACAGCACTGAACAGGAGTGTGTCCTCTGCTGGTTGTGCTGGATACCATGGTATCCTTCTGAGTTGTCTTTCTAAGGTGGGACTTGGAGGTACTGTTTTTCAGTAGCTTCATTCCTTCCTGGAGGGACGATCTCAGAAGGTGGTGCTAAAGAACTCCTGTTCGACTCCTTGGTCACTAGCCTGCAGAGTCCCTCAGGATTCAGTGCTGCCCCCCATGCTGTTTAAAATATACATGAAACCACTGGGATAGGCCATCCAGAGTTTTGGAGTGTGGTACCACCTATATGCAGATAACACTCTATTACTCCTTTCTACTTAAAGCCCAGGAGGCGGTCCTGATCCTTAACCAGTGTGTCATCAGGAATGGAGTAGATGAAGATAAACCATTTGAAATTGAATCCAGACAAGACAGAAGTGTTCTTGGTCAGTGGAAAGACAGTTCTGGGAATAGGGATTCAGCCTGTGTTATATGTGATCACACTCCAACTGAAAACATTGGTACGCTATTTGGGAAGACTGCTGGATTCAGCTCTGAAACTGAAGTCCCAGGTATCAGCAGTGACCAGGAGTGTTTTGTGCCTGTTCCTAGAGAAGTCAGATCCAGCCACAGGGGTGCATGCCTCGGTTACATCCCAGCTGGACTATGGTAATACTCTCTATGTGGGGATGCCTTTGGAAAATGCTCAGAAACAGTTGGTCCAAAGAGAAGCAGTCAGTTTATTAACTGTGGCTGGTAACCTCTCTGTGGCAACAGCTCCTCTGGCTGTTAACCCATTTGTGGGCAAAAATCAAAATGCTTGTCTTGACCTATAAAAGTCCTATATGGCTTAGGTACAGGTTACTTGAAGGATCTTATCTCTTTGTATGAGCCTAAGATCATCTGGGGAAGTCCTTTTCTCTGTCTGACAATCTTCCCAAGGATGTTTGCTGGGAAAAAGGGAGAAAGCCTAGAGACCAGGATAGCCCCATCCCTACTTCCCTTTCATAAGCAGGTGAAGACATACCTCTGCCATCAGGCATTTAAGGAACAATGAAGGGCAGGCTGCTGGGGATGCTGTGAGTGGGATCTTGGGAGGGATGTCTAATTTTTAAATGTGATTTTAATTGTATTTTAACAAAATTTTACACTCATAATACAAATATTTACTTGCTTTTTAATCTTGATATTCATATGTACATGTATTTTCCTTGATTTCAAATTCTATTGTGTCATGTCACTGTGAGCTGCCTGGAGTCCTCTATGGGGAGAAAAGTGGGATAAAAATAAGATTAATATAATTATCAAGTATAAATGAACTTTATATGTAGACGTTTTTGTTTTCCAAAGTTTAGGAATTTTAGTTGACCATTGTTTTGTAGGATTGTATATTTTGAGTACAAATACCAATCCGGATTTTTTTATTATTATTTTGGATGGTTTCAAATTTTTATTTGGATGATTTGTTCTGCCATTATATTGCAGTTCCCTGTTTTGTTATTATAATAAAATTTATAATAAAACTTTATTTGTATTCTGCCCTATTTCCCCAAGGGGACTATGTGTGTGCAGGTATATACATATACCATATTTTATATTGCCAGGACCCAGTCTATTATTGTTTTAAAGTAAAGATCCATGATGAGGCTATACAGTACAAACCTTGATCCATGGAGCTGATATCCATGGTATCACTTGCCCATGTTTTTTTTTTTTTTAAATCTCCACCCTAAAATTGTTCATGCGAATGTCTAGTTCCTTCAGTGCAATTCTTGCCCAAATATAGGCAAAATATAGATTATGCTATTACCCACAGTTTCAGGTATCCGCAGGGGTCTTGGAACAAAGCTCTCATAGTTAGGGGTTTGTTTATTTATAGCATTTCTACCCCGTTCTTCTCAACCCCCAAAGGGGGACTCAGGATGGCTTACATTTGGCACAATTTGATGCCATTAAATATAACAAAGCAATAAACAACAATTAAAACAATAAATAGAACATTAACTAAAACAACAAAAACAGTATTAACCGCCGTATCACCATTCCAGTCAAATTCCATATCCAAAGTGCGATTTATGTCTGCTGTCTACAAGTCTGGTTCCAGAACCACAACTTCAATTTCTTCCTAAAAGACAGGAAGGATGAAGCCGATCTTACCTCGTTGGGAAACAAGTTCCACAGGAGGGGGGCTACTGCTGAGAAGGCCTTGTCTCTCGTCCCTGCCAGATGTATTTGTGATGCTGGTGGGAGCGAGAGCAGGGTCTCCCCGGATGATCTTAAACTGTAAGGTGGGTTTGCACTATATAAGGAAATTCAGGGATTTAGCTCCCATCTCTAAGATATCTGTGGCTCTCCGACTCTGGAATTCACTACCTGGAGAAATTAGGAAAGCCCCTACCCTAGAAACTTTTAAAAAGAACCTCAAAACCTGGCTCTTCCGCTGCGCCTTTGGTGAATAGGTATTCAATCCCGCATTATAGCTCATTTGCAATGTTCTGTCCCCCTCGTGGGAAAGCCTTATTCCACAACCCCCACTATAATGAGCCCTCATCCGCAAATAATCTGTTTCTCTTTTATATCACCTGAGTTTTTAACTAGTTTTAATTAGTTCCTCTTTTAACCATTACATGTAGCCCGCCCATTGTCACTGTGTTTGTGTTTACTGTAATTTTATATTGTTATGTATTCACATGTTTTATGTAATTATGATGTTGTTGTTTATTGTTCACGTTTTCAGTTTGCGTTTTCGGTTTCTCCTTATTGTAATTGTTGTTTGGGCTTGGCCTCATGTAAGCCACTCCAAGTCCTCATCAGGGAGATGGTGGCAGGGTATAAATAAAGTTTATTATTATTATATCTCATTACATTGGCCTTCCTCTGTCGGTGATCTGCACAGCTGTTCGGCTTCTTGCGGGAATTCCGATGAGATGCCACATAACACCAATTTTACTACAGCTGCATTGGTTACCAATTGAGCACCGGATCACTTTCAAAGTGATGGTACTTACCTTTAAGGCCTTGCATGGTCTGGGGCCAATGTACCTGAGGGACCGCCTCACCCCCTACCAACCCCAGAGATCCCTCCGTTTTGCGGTCCAAGATTTATTGGAAATTCCCAGTGTCAAGACCTTGCGTCTAACAGCAACCAAACGCAGAGCCTTTACAGCAGTGGCACCATCTCTCTGGAATACTCTGCCACCTGAAGTCCATGCCTTGCGGGACCTATCAGCTTTCCGCAGGGCATGTAAGACATATCTGTTTCAACAGACCTTTGATCTTTGATATTGTTTTTAAATTGTTTTTAAATTGTGTTCGATTTTAGCCTGTTCTTGTAAGCCGCTCTGAGCCCCAGGGGAGTGGCAGCATATAAGTTTGAATAATAAATAATAAATAAATAAAAATTATATACATCCAATATTAAATATAAATAATTCCAAAACATTTCTAGTTCCAAGCATACAGCGTTCACCAAAATCTAGTCTTCCGGGTATTTTGGACTTCAGTTCCCAGAACTTCTGAAAAATGGCCAAAACAGCTGAGGCTTCTGGGAGTTGAAGCTGAAACCCTTGGAGATGGGAGAATCGCTGCAGAACCTGTGGCAATGTGCCCCCCCCCTCCCCAGGAGGCTTGGACTTCAGCTCCCAGAAACCCTAGGAAACTTGTCGCATGGCCAGGAATTCTGGGAGCTGAAGCCCAAAACACCTGAATAGCCACAGGTTGTGCAGGCCTGGGTTAAGAGAGAGGCTACTCAACCCGCAGGACACAAACTGGTGGTCTCTGCAAGCTTCTAGGAAGGGAGGGAGGAAAGAAGGATGCTAATGTTCCTCAATGGGCACAAATAGGGTGCAGAGCAAGTACTGCAATGACTGCCGGTGCCCTCCTCAGGAAACCTGAGTAGGGATTCCTCCCCCGACAGAGGATCAGCAAACGCCACTCAGGAAGGGATCGTTACCCGTAGTAACGGAAAGCGTTGATAATCCTCCGGAAGTGCTCTCGCTCCAGCTTCTCCTCTTCCTCTCCCTCTTTGCTCTCTCTGGGCGCCGCTGCCTCCTCCTCCTCCGCGGCCCGCCTCTCTTGGGCGCAGTCAAGCCCCGGCCCTGCTTGCCCTCCGGCCCCTCCGCTCGGCGGCCTCCCCCGCAGCATCGCCTTCCCCGGCGGAGACGGAAGCAGCGCCTCGCTTCGCGGCACGGCACACGCGGCAGCGGTGGCGAGCGACATCCCGTTTCCTTTCCCTCTGCGGTGCCCGGCCCGCCCTCTTTCGCTCGCTCCCTCCTCGCGCCCACTTCCGGCCCCGCTCAGGCGTGCTTCCGGCTTCACCGCGGAGCCAATCCCCTTTCAAGGAACGGAAGGGTGCCGCCCACGTCCTGCCCATTGGGTGTCCGCGCGCCGAACATGCGCATCGAGGAAGGCGTTCCCTTGGCAACCTGCCCAGTTCTCGCGAGAAGGGATAAAGCGAAGGCGGGAGCGAAGTTGCTGCTGCTTCTGTCCTACTGTTGTTCCTTTGAGTGATTGATAGGCCTCATACACTTCCCCCCCCCCCCCAAAGTGCTGGTTTTAAAAGAATTTAGCGTTCTGACGTTGGCTCCCATCACGTAGTCCTTTCAACGTTGATATTTTTACCTTGAAATATGTGATCACGAAGCCAGTCTTGTGTATCAGTTTTGAGGGTTGAGCCACGGCTCTACCCCAGCTCTGCCATGGAAAGTGACAAGCCTTAGAAACAGGCAGGTCCCCTCTGAACAACTCTTGCCATTGGTTGGAAATGGCTTATGCTACCTTAAGGGTTGTATCCTCTCACCCAACCTATTCAACTTGTATGCAGAACACATCATGCGATGTACGGGGCTTGATAAATGCAAGATGGGTGAAAATTGCTGGAAGAAACTTTCAACTCCCAAGGCATGGTCAACTCCCAACCTGGAGGTGACCATGCCTTGGTCACCTCCAGGTTGGATTACTGTAATCGCTCTACGTGGGGCTGCCCTTGAAAACGGCTCGGAAGTTCCAACTGGTCCAACGAGCAGCAGCCAGGATGTTAACTGGGGCTCCTTACAGAGAGAGGTCAACCCTCCTGTTCAAGGAGCTCCACTGGCTGCCGTTTATTTTCCGAGCCCAATTTAAGGTGCAGGTGCTTACCTACAAAGCCCTGAACGGTTTGGGACCATCCTACCTGCGTGACCGCATTTCCATCTACGAACCCACACGCTCACTCTGATCATCTGGAGAGGCCCTGCTCGTGATCCCGCCTGCGTTGCAAGCACGTTTGGTGGGGACTCGAGACAGGGCCTTTTCCGTGGCGGCCCCCCGACTTTGGAACATCCTCCCCAAAGACCTTAGACAGGCCCCTACATTGGCAGTCTTCAGAAAGAACTTGAAGACCTGGCTGTTCCGATGTGCCCCCTACATTGGCAGTCTTCAGAAAGAACTTGAAGACCTGGCTGTTCCGATGTGCCTTCCCAGACTAGGAAATCCCTATCACCAAGTCCTTAAGCACTTTACTAGAATTAAGATTGCTGTATACCGCATACTGCACTTGCCCTATAATGCCTTGTATACCACCTGTTCACACCAGCACCTTTAATCCTGTACCCATTACTTTGGCCCGGCCCAATTTTATTATGTCTTTGTTATTGTTTATTGCTTGTTGTTTCTATTGCTGAATTGTTTTTAATTTGCTTTGGTTCTGTATTGTTATATTGTGTGTTGAGGCCTTGGCCTTTGTAAGCCGCATCGAATCCTTTGGGAGATGCTAGCGGGGTACAAATAAAGTTTAATAATAATAATAATAACAACCTTAGCTATGCCGATGATGCCTCTTTGATGGCCAAAACCGAGGAGCTGAGGCGCCTTCTAATCAAGGTGAAAGAAGAAAGTGCAAAAGCTGGGTTGCAGTTAAACATTTTTTTTAAAAAAAACCCCAAGATTATGGCAACCAGACTGATGGATAACTGGGAAATAGAGGGAGAAAACCTGGAGGCAGTGACAGAGTTTGTATTTCTGGGTGCAAAGATTACTGCAGACGCAAACTGCAGCCAGAAAATCAGGAGATGCTTCTTGGGAGGAGAGCAATGACCCATCTCGATAAAACAGTGAAGAGTAGAGACATCACACTGGCAACAAAGATCTGCATAGTAAAAGCAATGGTATTGCCCATAGTAACCTATGGATGCGAGAGCTGGACCATAGGGAAGGCTGAGTGAAGGAAGATAGATGCTTTTGAACTGTGGTGTCGGAGGAAAGTTCTGAGAGTGCCTTGGACCATGAGAAGATCCAACCAAACCATACTTCAGGAAATCAAGCCCAACTGCTCATCGGAGGGAAGGATATTAGAGGCCACAATGAAGTATTTTGGCCACATAATGAGAAGACAGGAAAGCTTAGAGAAGACAATTATGCTAAAGATGTTGTAGAGCTTTATCATACCAGCCTGTTGTCTCACAACAATCGTGTTTTTTATGCAAACAAAAACATACAAGTATGGAAACATTCACTTTCACACCTCAACTGCAATGGTTCGGCAGAAATAGTTTTTATCATATAATGGGCTCCCTAGGACTCGGTCTGTAAACTGTTTCAAAAGTGTGCAGAAACAGATGGGACCCTGTGTCTAATGAGTGAGATTTTTTTGGCTGTTTCTATTAATAGTGTGTGTCATTCTTTTAAGAGTATAGAATGCTAGCTTTTAGCAGTGTTAGAAGAATATTTTGTTTCTTTTATTTCGTTACTGGATATGTGGCCTGCTACATTCCATGGATTGCAACATTCACTGAATCTGTCTTTTGTATCTAGAAAAATTATAACAAAGAACTCAACAATAATTGAAAACTGATTTATCTTTATTTAAAAAATAAAAATATCTTTTTGCCAAGCAGATTTTAGTCCATTAAAATATTTTAGATTTCCAGCCTTTCAACAGCACATTCACGATCCATCGAAGGTGCTTCGGCTTTCATTGCTAGAACAGCTGGTATATTCATTATTCTGAAAGTATTGTTGGAGGAATGGAATGTAAAAACTAGAGGACTGAGGGAGTGGCAGGACAGTAGCAAGTATGAATCCCTTTAACTTCTTGAGCGAGGAGGACAATATATACCTTGGCTGATGTTGCCGAAAGCATGAATTGAAATAACTTGCTTTCTAAGAGAGAAGCAAATTCTGCATAAGTTCTCTTCCACTAAGAACCTAATAATTTAAGGGATTAAAATGAGAATTCTGAAATTGATGACTAGCACCACTGCATTTGGCTAGCATGTCCAACAGGAAAGAGACAGAAGACATATCCACTAGGATACCATGGCCGTGTGGCGGTGCGCTGCTCCTTTAGTAAGGCTTCCATTAACTTCTAAAACATCATATTAGTCACAAAATATACATGAATATTTTGGTTACTCTTCTCTGGACATGTCATTAGGGAGTATGAACTTATACATGCATAATAGTACGTCGTTCACCTGAGAAAAAAAGAACCACACAAATGAATTAATTAGTTTCCAAACCCAGTGCTAACAGAATTTATAGCAGAATTTATAATTTATAAATTGTTTTCAATTTCTATGTCCTCATGTTTGCCAGAATTTCAAGATGTTATAAACACCAAATTAAATGTAGAACATTATTTTTTACAAACTTTGAAATCATCGTATATTTCGAATCTCTACTTAGACATGGAAGTTCCAACCTCAGAGGAAGGCAATAGCAAATCTATGAAAAAATATTGCCAAGAAAATACTTTGGTAAGATCACTCCATGCTGGAGCTGACTTAAAGGCCCTGAAAACAAAACTGTATAATTTGCTTCAAATTGTTTTATTTTCATTTTAAAAACAGTAAGGCAGAACTCCTATGCACTTTTACTATTTTATAGGACGGCATAGATATCTTACTAGTTGTTTAATCTTAAACCAATCTTAGTTCAGGCTGACTACGCACCTGCCTTTTCCATTTCATGTGAAATATCATTGAACACCCTTGAATAGAGTTTTTCCTGTGATTGCATTCCATCCAAATAAACTGCAAGCAAAAAAAAAAATCGGTTTGCTTTCAGTGGAGCCAGAAATTATCAATATAAACATACAGGAGGACCTAACTGAATTTATTTGTCTTTAAAATAACAGCCTTGCATTATATGCTGTTCACAATTGACATTTCTTGGAGTCAAATAGCTTATTTATACATAGAAGACTTAAAACAACAATAGGTCATATAAGGTCTCCAAACAGATTATATACAAAATATGATCCTAAAATGAGTCTTGGAAGGAAAATGTTTTGCTCAACTCCTTAAATTCTTTATCCACTCTGTCCCATCCATATTTGGGATATCTGGTAAACATTGAAACATTCTAGAAAATACATAATTTTATACAGAAATAAACTCAGCTCACAACAAAAGCCTGTGCTTGGATGAGCTTAAGGTATATGAAAATATCTGTCGTACCAATGCCAGTTTCATTTTCTTCCATTTCCTTCTTGTGCTTCAGATACATGGGCCATACATGTCCATCAAAGTATCCTGGTGGGTCTGGTGGATTATAAATTCTGTTGCTATATAAAAAGATAGATAGAAGTTCCACAACTTCTACAACTTGCATAATTATAACCTCTGCATGAAATATGTGGAGCCTTTGGCAAGGAGATGAAGTATTTATAAATACAAGATACAAGTACATGTTTAGTAAATTAAAATTCCCGCAGCATGGTAATTATGAAATGGCACATTCATACTTTTGTTCCAGCAGGTTAGGCATGATAATGTAGCATGGGATCCTCTAATTCAGGTTTTGATTTTGCAACAGGCTTCTTCAAGTATACCTTGTATAAACAGTCAGCAATTTATTATATAGTAATTCCCTATTAGACTAGTGTATATAGCCACAATCCAATTCAATGTGTTCTTGGCTGTGGGAGGATGAGCTGTAGTCCAACCCATGTGGCAGGTATCCAGTTGAAGATGAAAACCTGATTAATTCTGTATCATGCTTTCTCATGACAGTATAGGGTCAAGGGACATGAAGAACTCTGACAAAAGCCCACTGAATTTAGCAAGATTTTGAATATCACAAATTAACTTGAGCCATCTTAATATAGGTCCCAGGTCCAAACCATATTTTTCTAGTTTTTATAGACTTTACAAAATATAGTTTTAAAAAATTGAGGATCTTTTCATTTTAAAGGTTTGAATGCTTATTAAGTTTAGTCACCAACAATAAAAAATATGCTGGTATATTGCCCCCTTCGAATCTGCTGAGATTGGGTTCCATCATCCATGGATGCTCAAGTCTCATTAATATAATGGCACAAGGAAAATGGTTTTATTTTTGAATTTCTGTATTTTTTTTCCATTTTAAGACGCAATTTTTCCTATATAAACGTGACTAAAATGGGGTGCATTTTGGAATTGAAGGTGTATTATGTATTTTTGTTGGTAGTGGTGGTACTGAATTTAAAGTGTGTCTTACAATCAATGGTATCTTATAACTGAAGAAATAATAATAATAATAATCATCATCATCATCATCATCATATCAATATTTTAATATGTATTACCTGCCTCTCCTTTTGGCTCAAGGTGAGGAACAAGTCTCAAGGCGGGTAATAATTTATACTGTATAAATTTTATAATGTATATAAAATGGCAAAATCATTCTTGCTTTTTTAGACTTTGTATAAATATTTTCAAGCTGTGGATGGTTGATTTAGCGAATGCAGAATCCATGGATATGGTGGGCTGACTGCATTGTATTTCACTCTTATCCTTTGGCACAGCCTTTGGTTATAAAGACCCCTCCCAAATTCTTCTGAAATTGATTCTGGCCTTCAATTGAAAGGCATTTTCCACCTCTTCTAAACAGTTTCCCTTGTCATGCTGCATTAGGCCTGTTGCAATCATAATCAAAGGGGAAATATTTGGCACTCATTTTTAGGAATACTGCACCTTCTCCTCCTTTTGCATTCTTCATAAGGAATTGTCAGGAAATACTTTTTATCCCATATATCACTGAGAGGCCTGTAAGAATAAAGTAGTAAATGAAGTGTGCTTATTTTCTTTATACTATTTACTATATTTTTGTTAAACTTGCTTACTTGTAGTTATATAGAAGGAACCCTTCAACAATTAAGATATGAATTTCTTCAGCTCTTTTCTGACCATCATGTGTCCTTTCTGGTGGTCTTGTCAACACAGAGTCTTCTGGGTTTCTCATCCAAGAACGTATGCTCATCACCATTTTTTCCATGTACAAGGCATCAAGAACTAAAAGACACATTTTGCCTTTAATGTTCAGATTGAGGTTCAAGGTCTGCATGACTTCCATTCATGAGATACTTGAATTAATGCTTTGGGACATAGTGAGAAGAATGGAAAAAAGGAGAAATTATTTTAAAAACAGAGTCATTTTTCATTTCATTTGGGATCCAGCTTTTGTAGAGAAACCAAAAGAGCATGGGAAATAACTAAGGGAGTTTCTGCACTAGTCCTAAAACCCCAAGTGAACCAGAATTCACTTCGGACTGTCCAAATGATGTCCAGGGACTTCTGATTTTAATGTAGTTTAACCTCATGTTAAGCAAAGTGCCTCATATAAATGGCTCCAGCACAAAGAGTAGCTTGATAAGAAACCATAACTCTTTGGCAGAGAAGACTAAAGAGCTTGTAAAACTGCAGCTCCCAGGATTCCATTGCATTGAGCCATGACCGTTCAAGGGGTGTCAAATTGCATTTGTTTTACAGTGTAAATGACTTCTCTCGAATCAGACATGCATTTGAGTTGAGCTATGCTGGGTGGATGGGAGAAAGATTTGAGTAAGATGAATTATCAGGAAAAGACTGCTTGAACATCCAGACTGAAGTCTAGGAGCAGGGAAACCCATTTTATGGCCAATAACTGAACTGAAAAGACCTTAATCACTGCTTTGCATGCCAGGACATTGTATTTTCAGTGCAACAACCTTTACTAGAATTTTCACATTTGCAAGAAACTACAGTCATCTAAATATTAAGATTTCTGCTTGTTTGTATCTTTTTTTTAAAAAAAACTTCAGTAATCAGATTTAGCCATTGTACTCATGATTTTAGTATTCTGTCCACTGACCATCATACTGCAGAAAGCCATTGCCGTCTACAGCCACTTCAGACTCAGGCTGGGGAAAAAATGGAGAAGAGTAACATTGTAGAGATAATGTGAAGGTGTAAATATAAATACCAATTCAAAAGGCCTACTGGAATCAACAGTTTTAGAGGTGTGTGGCAGAATTCACTATGAAGGCAGGCAGCTCTGACAACGGGGCAACACACAACAAAAGCAGTTAATATGATAGTTGCATCCATAAATATTCAGTGTTTAGGTAGATATATATCTTAATCTAATTTACAAGTGTTACTCAAAGTGAACCAGCACTGGCCAACAAGTTATTGACTATAAGTCTAAGCAAATTTCCAGGAAAGAAATGGAATCAATTGGCAGAAATATGTTTCCAGTCCTTAGCATATGGTGGTCTGTCCAATAATGTCCAATAATGGCATACCAATTAACTCAAAATCCTCTACATCCTGAAAGTGTAGATAGCTTTTTAAAAATGCTACATTATCATGAGGATGATAAAGATCAAGGATGTAATGACAGACAGTGCAAGAAACCAAGGGGGAAAATGCAGAAGTATAACCTTAATAGCCCATCAAAACTGAAGAAGGCTCTTCTGTATGATTCTTTAGACCAGGAATAGAAAGACAGAAACTACTGAGGCTCTGACCCTTTAGGAAAGGAAGAGTACACCTGAAGGCACCAGAGCTTGGAAGTTAAACCGAGTAAGCCCTAATTAGCACTTGAATAGAAGATTATCAAGGAATCGCAAGTGCCATAAGCAATACTTCAGAGGAAGGAACTGGCAAAACCTTTTCTTGAGAATTACTTGCTGAAGACTTTGACTTGAAGGCACACTTATATAAAAAGTGGCCAATGGTGCTCTCTCTATTCCATGAAAGAATACTTCATCACACTAGAGAACAAATCCACTTTAAATTCAGTTTCTCCTCCTGCATAATTCTGGGGTTTGTAGTTTAGGGAGGGGGCTTTAACAGCCTCATTAAACTACATACGCCAGAATTCTGCAGGAGGCAGAAACCGGATTTAAAGTAGATTCATTCTCTAGTGTGATAATACAAATAGTGGGATGAGATTACTACAAATACTACAACTAAAATTGGAAGTCCACTCTCTACTTTTCTAAAGGCTGTTTGGTCTGTAAGATGACCTTCTTGTTGTTATGGCATAAATTGTTATCCTTTGTAGGATTAGGCATAACCCTCTGAGCTCTTGGCGAGGTTGAAAATGGCCTCCAGCCATTCTGAAGACGTCTGCCCCTGCATTACCTCTAACTCATATATCCTAGTTCCACATGATTAGAATCAATGGGGTTGGAAGGAACAGAGCCGTAGTTCCTGGTCCCATTCCCCCATTGACATATTTGAAAAATCCAAGGCTTGGACATCCCCTCCACATGCATGAGCTCCATGCCTCAGTTTGGAACTGTGGCCAAGGCAGCTTTCAGATTGTAGGTTCCTGCTTCAGGCCTTCATCTTAAGACCTGACTTAACTTGACTACAGCTGAGTCAGGCCACAGGGATGCAATTTTGATAGGGGGCTGAATGATTCTCTTCCCTTCTTTTAATTGTGGGTTAAAGATTGGCATGGAGATCAAACCTGGTGGCAGATATTTTACTTGCGAGCTGAACAAAAAGATGGCAGCTTGTGAATTAATCTCTTGATTTCATTACCTTGAAAAAGTCGTCTTGAGAGATGATTGTGCAGTTTGGAAACTGGTCCTTGAGTTTTCTTGCCAGAGTTGTCTTCCCTCCATTTGTTACACTGTATTATATATTTGAAGAAAGAATGCTAACATAGCAGATTATACAATACATAATAGCAACTGCAGGGTTCTGATAGCCTGCATTAGTAACATTGTTCATGATTTTAAACCACTCTTTTGTATGAGAAAGCACTATCTACATTGTACTCTGTCAGGCACACTTTGACCAGGCAGTTTTATTCTTTTCAAATAGCACATATTGTCAAATCCAAGGGCATATTTATTGTAGGAATATAAATCCTGCCTCAGATAATTTTTAGTATCTAATTTCATGATAAATACAGGATGGTTATGTCTAAGGAACAAGTTCTTCTCTGTTGTGGTGGTCAGATGTGGCCTACAGATCAAGTTTTTGCCAAATGACCTGCTAGCTCGATTTGATGAGAGATATAATGTTACACATTGGTTGGGCACATTGAAGTGTAGCTAATGTGTTGCATTGAATTAGGATGGGTGAAATCACTGTCCTCCAATAAATTAGCCTTGGTGCTTTGCTGGTATGCTGCTATAACCATTCCTAGACAGGTTCAAGCTGTCAAATATCATTCATACACTGCCAACCTCAAGATTGGACTACTATCATAACATAATACAGGGCTACCCATGCGCTTACCTTGAAGGCTATAACTAGTGCATTATACAATAGGTAATCAATACTACAGTATACTAAAAACCCTATACTGGCTACTTAGTCAAATTCAAGAGACAACTCTTTGTTTATAAGGCTCTAAAAGGCTCAGGAGAAGGTTAGCTGAGGGGCCACCTTCTTCCACATATACTATCACAGTTTCTCTGCTTTGGAGTGGTGGGAAAATTTTATTTAATGTATCACAGGCAAGTGACATTCTTTTAGTTACAATACAATGGAGGCCTTTTCTGTTGTGGCCTCATTATACGGCATTCTTCCACTGATACAAGGGAAGTGTCCAATAGACATTGCCAATCATGCAACTTGAAGACTTGTTTGTTCAGACATTTTCCTGATCTCCAAGGTCCCACATACATGACAATTTAATGCAGTTCAAAGATAGCTTCCAACTGCGGCAGCCAGGCAACTAACTCCCACAAAAGCATGCAAAATAAAGTCCTTAATGTGCATCAGTGCTCTGTGGTTTATGTAACTGAGCCTTTGTAGTAAGAATCAAACTTATGGTTTCCTCATAGTATTTCCTTGCATAGTAACATTGAGCCGTTGAGGGGACTCCTAAGCTTGTGCATTTGAAGTGCTCATGCCCCTAAATCGCTGCCCCTTCATTATCACCATCTGGGCCTCAAACTAGTTCCAGGCTTTCCTATGGAATCATCTGCACAGTGAAACCAGTTTGAAACCACATTGAAACCAATACCGGTTTGAAACAACATTGTAGATTGGGCCTAAGTCTGCCTGTGACTATAAGGGATTCAATAAAATATGCTACTATTATTGGCCTTTTCGTGTCCATGATAATGATGCCTTGCCCTCCCTTGAAAAGCAATTTATTTCCTAGTCTGCATTAAGAGCATAGTGTGAGATCTACATAAGACTTTAGCAAGAGTATTCGATTTTTCTCTGAGGAAGGCAATTGCACTGTCTACCCACATAATTTGGCACCTGGAACAACATCTTGGTGAATCTTGAGAACCAGTACTACAGTAACCATCAGGGTTTGAGTGCTCATAAATTCAGGCACATATACATTTTTTTCTGGGTTTATCATGTGTATCTTATTTTCATATGCCAAACACGAACAGTCGATAAACAATGTATGTTATGCTTTCATGGATATGGTTTTGTTTCCTATTGTTAATCCAGAATCTTATTACCATATTGCCTGATAGGGTCAGACCCCAGCATTCTTACATTATTTTATGGTTTCCTTGTTTGATTTTCTTTTGTTTTGTGGCACATTGTAAATCACTTTGGAATTTCTGGGTTGTTGTAGATTTTTTTGGGCTATATGGCCATGTTCTAGAGCAGTGGTTCTCAACCTGGGGTCCCCAGATGTTTTTGGCCTACAATTCCCAGAAATCCCAGCCAGTTTACCAGCTGTTAGGATTTCGGGGAGTTGAAAGCCAAAAACATCTGGGGACCCCAGGTTGAGAATCACTAGAGGCATTCTCTCCTGACGTGCCTCTAGAACATGGCCATATAGCCCGAAAAAACCAACAACCCAGTGATTCCAGCCATAAAACCCTTCAACAATACACTTTGGAATCTTTTGGAATAAAACGCTTTATGGAAAAATCTATATAAATAAATCGGACATAGATAAGAGAGGCCAGATAGCAGTCTGGTAGCTCTTATCCATGTCTGAGGATAAGAGATACAGGATATGATGTAGGTTGAAAAAGTAAAGTGAAAAAAGATGAAAAAAATATACCCCACATTCAATTATTGATAAAAACTTAGCATATAAAGCAAAGCAGTATTGTAGATTATGTTCACACTCACCCTCCAAGTCCAATGACCAAGATTTTCATAGTTCCTTTTTAATCTAAAAAATTAAATTGAGAGGATTGTGTGTTAGGAACAAATATTTTTTCCCCACAATCTATTTTTGATAGACTACAAAAGTAAAATTAGACATAATATGTAATTCATATCCAAAAATCCCACTTGTAAATATTTGCTGGGGAGGTTATATCTATTTGCAAGTTTCTTTGTTGCCCGTGTATTTGCAAAAGCCTTTTTCTCCCACCCTGTGCCATGTCTGCCGAATCTTAAACTAACACAAAGCCTTCATTTATAGGAAGTTCACCATCAGAAATCGAAATATACAAACCATTTTACATTGTAGGTTGCCCGGATTACAAAATAGAAGCAGCTCAGTAAGGCATTATTTAAACAAGCATTACACATAAAATATGGCACACACACCCCAATAGTTATTGAAGTATCACAGACATAGAGTATACTAGGGACAAGGTATGCAGCACATGTACTTGTTGTGATATCATACATTTTATTACTAAACATTTCAGGGCCCACATCTGTGAGTGTATCTACACTGTATGATTAATGCAGTTTGCCACCACATGAACTGCCATGGTTCAATGCAATGGAGTCATGGAAATTGTACTTTCACAAGATCTTTAGCTTTCTCTGGCAAAGAGTGCTGGGACCTCAGCAAACTACAATCCCCATGATTCCATAGCATTGAGTCATAGCAGTTCAAGTAATGTCAAACTGCATTAATTCTACAATGTGGAACGTGTTGTTTAGATACAGATGCAAAACTATTAGTACAAATGAAAAATATAAATATAACCGAAATGAGAAATATAAATGTAATTCACTAGGGCAGTGGTTCTCAACCTGTGGGTCCCCAGGTGTTTTGGCCTACAACTCCCAGAAATACCAGCCAGTTTACCAGATGTTAGGATTTCTGGGAGCTGAAGGCCAAAACATCTGGGGACCCACAGGTTGAGAACCACTGCACTAGTGAAAGAGTTGCTGCTGAGCTATTTATCAACCAAAAGATAAAAGCCTCTGGACTCTGTTACGTAAATTCTGGTGCAATTTAAAAGTTTTGGTCATCAGAGCAGAAAGCCAAGACAAACTAGCAAACACTAAAGAGGGACATTGTGTGTATGTGCCTTCAAGTCCCCTCTTGACTTATGATGATCCCATTAATTTCACAGAGCTTTCTTTGGCAAGGAATACTCAGGGACGGTTTTGTCATTACATACAATGAAAAGACACCCTGGAGTTATATTCTGTACCTTTGTCTGTTATAGACATTGAGTTTGATTCTTCTTTAACTATGAAATATTTCAAAAGGACCATCACAAACTAAATAAAATAAAAATGCCATTCATGACTTCCACTGAGTTATGACCAAATTATATTGATACACAATTTAAGACAATGCTTTGTTACAAATTACAATTATAGCTTTCTTGTGTAGGGTCCTGTGGCATATTCAACATCATGAGGTAGCCCAATCCTTACCACACTTTTAAAAAGGCCACAGTAGATTCACTAGTTATTAGGGTGTATCTATACTATAGGTAAAGGTAAAGGTAAAGGTTTTCCCCTGACATTAAGTCCAGTCGTGTCCGACTCTGGGCCTTGGTGCTCATCTCCTAAGCCGAAGAGCTGGCGTTGTCCGTAGACACCGCCAAGGTCATGTGGCCAGCATGACTGCCTGGAGCACCGTTACCTTCCTGCTGGAGCGATACCTATCTATCTACTCACATTTGCATGTTTTCAAACTGCTTGGTTGGCAGAAGCTGGTGCTGACAGCGGAAGCTCACGCCGCTCCCCGCATTCGAACCTGCAACCTTTCGGTCAACAAATTTAGCAGCTCAGCGGTTTAACCCACTGTGCCACCAGGGGCTATCTATACTATAGATATCTATACTCTAGAACCTATATAAACTAGAGAATTAATGCAGTTTGACACCATTTTATCTGACATAGTTCAATGCTATGGAATCCTGGGAGCTGTAAATTGGTGGGGCTTAGAGTGCTTTGTCAGGGATGTTGAAGAGACTTGAAAAAAATAAAACCCCCAGAGCTCCAGAACTGAGCCATAGCAATTAAACTGGGATTAAACTGCATTAATTCTAGAGTGTAGATGAATCCCTAGTCCATCTACACGACCTATTTCAAAATATTACCATTATCTTTTAGAGCTTCTATGCAACCAGCAAACACCAAAGCAATCCAAGAACTGCACCCACTTACCTTCCTTCTTCGAGCAAAAAGTGCAAAAAACCACAATAAAGACACCAAGGTCTCCTCTGCCTGTCACTCACAAGCCACGCCCCCTTCTTCTCCAACCCCGTTAGAGAAAGCACCGTCGACCCCGCCCACCAAGGAAAGGGGAGGTGGGCAGTCCTATGCAAATTTGCTACATATAAGCTCCGCCCCTTTCTCCTACACCCCAATAGAGAAGCAAGGCACGATGCGAGGAGGTTCTATGCAAATAGGATATATTCAAGCCCCGCCCCTTCCTCCTCTAACCCGTTACAGAAGCACCATCGGTCTCCCACTCCCAGGAAAGGGGCGGAGCATATGTAAATACACCCACTCCCATAGGCCAAGTCTCTCAAGTCCGAGGGTGTCGCCACGCCCCCTATTCGGGATTGGCTGGGCGCTAAGTCGGGAGAGCTGCCCTGGGCAAGAGTCTTTCCCAATGCCTGCGGTGCCCAAGAGCGGCCACTGGGGGCGCAGCGAGCAGCATCTGCTTCGCAGTGGCGACGCTTCCCACTTCCTCATCTTCGCGGAAAGTAACTTGTGAGCCTTTCGGGGCGGTGGGCGAGGCGATCCCTGCAGGAGGAAGCAAGCTCGATCGACCCACATCCAAGAGGCTTGGAAGGCTCGCCGATCCGACCCAGCTATGTCCAAGCCGCCGCCTAAACCGGCCAAACCAGGTAAAGGGGGGAGATCTAAGCTTTTGAGCCAGGAAAGGGGGAGATCTACACTGTGGAACGAATGCAGTTTGGCATCACTTCCTCGGAGTTGTAGTGAGGCACCAGCACTCTTGGGCAGAGAAGGCTGGAGACCTTGTGGGACTACAACTCCCAGGATTCCATAGCCTTGGGCTGTGTGGCAGTTCAGCATTCGTTTCAACCTTGACGGAAGACTCGCAGGAGAGCGTGAGAAGAAGGGGAAGATCCACCTTGACACGTGGATCACTTTTCCCCCTTCGGAAAAGCATTGCCTTCCTTTCCCTCCACTCCCTGCAGCGTCAGCATACGCTTGGCACGCGAATTAGCACAGCGCCCGGGGCTGAGAGAGTGTGACTTGCTGAGCCAGGATTCGCACCCAGCACTCTCGACTCCAACCACGGTGGCAGCGTAGCTCCTGGGTTGTTGTGAGTTTTGAGGGCTGTATGGCTATGTCCCAGAAGCATTCTCTCCTGACGTTTCGCCTGCATCTATGTCAGGCATCCTCAGAGGTTGTGAGGTCTGTTGGAAACCAGGTTTGTATCTCTGTGGAATGTCCAGGGTGGGAGAAAGAACTCTTGCCTGATTGAGGCTACTGTGGATGTTGCAACTGGCCACTTTGATTAGCACTGAATAGCCTTGCAGCTACAAAGCCTGGCCGCTTCTTGCCTGGGGGAATCCTTTGTTGGGAGGTGTTAACTGGCCTTGATTGTTTCCTGTATGGAATTCCCCTATTTTCTTAGTGTTCTTTATTTACTGTCCTATTTTAGAGTTTTTTTAAATACCGGTAGCCAGATTTTGTTCATATTCATGGTGTCCTCTTTTCTGTTGAAATTGTCCTCATGCTTGTGGATTTCAGTGGCTTCTCTGTGTGGCCTGACATGGTGGTTGTTACAGTGGTTCAGCAATTCAGTGTTCTCAGATACTATGTTGTGTCCAGGTTGGTTCATCAAGTGTTCTGCTATGGTTGGCTTCTCTGGTTCAATCAGTCTGCAGTGCCTTTCAGTTATTGTCATTTTTATTGAAATAAGAAACAATCAGGGCCAGCTAATCACCTCCCAACAAAGGATTCCCCCAGGCAGGAAGAAGCCAGACCTTGAAACTGCTAGGCCATTAAATGCTAATCAAGGTGGCCAATTACAACATTCACACCTGCCTCAAACAGACAAGAGTTATTTCTCCCACCCTGGACATTGCAGAGATATACAAACCCAATTTTCTTACTTTCCAACAGACCTCACAGCCTCTGAGCCTTCCACAGATGTAGGCGAAACGTCAGAAGAGAATGCTTCTGGGCCATGGCCATACAGCCAAGAAAACACAGCAACTCAGTGATTCCGGCCATGAAAGTCTTCGATAATACAGCATGGCTCTTGTTTCCTAGAATCTAAAAAAAATCTAACTTGATTTACTCTTGTCCCAACTCTGTTTTTAAGAGACTTGGGGCTGATAACACTGTAGAATGAACGCAGTTTGTTTGACATTCCCTTAAACTGCCATGGCTCAATGCTATGGAATCATGGGATCTGTAGTTTGGCAGAGAAGGCTGAAGAGGCCTTGGTAAACTACAACTCCCAAGATTCCGTAGCACTGAGCCAAGGCAGTCAAAATAGTGTCAGGCTGTATTCAGTCGACAGTGTAGACGCGCCCATTGAAAGAGAGAGACAAGAGAGATAGAGAGAGGTAACCCGAAGCCTTCCTCCCTGATCCGGGGTGTGGCGGGCAGCGGCAGGGATCGATCGCGGAGCAGGAAGTGCGGTGCAGACTGCACCAAATGCGCCTTCTCCTCGCCTTCCGCCTGCAGAGCTGAGAGAGAGGGCGATCGATCCAATGGGATCTTCTTACAAACGCTGCTGCGGTTGGTGGCAGCAGTGACTTGGGAGAATTTGTTTTGGTGCATCTTTGAAGGTGCCAAAGGCTTAGGGTGTATCTAAACCAGGCATGGGCAAACGTGGGCCCTCCAGGTGTTTTGGACTCCAACTCCCAAAAGTTGGGATTCACCCAGGCAGGAAGCAGCCAGGCTTTGAAGTTGCAAAGCTATTCAGTGCGAATCAAGATGGCCAATTGCAACATTCACAGTTGTCTCAATCAGACAAGAGTTCTATCTCCCACCCTGGACATTCCACAGATATATAAACCCAATTTCCTTAGTTTCCAACAGACCTCACAACCTCTGAGGATGCCTGCCATAGATGCAGGCGAAATGTCAGGTGAGAATGCTTCTGGAACATAGCCATACAGCCCGGAAAAACCAGCTGTTAGGAATTGTGGGAGTTGGAGTCCAAAACACCTGGAGGACCAAGTGTCCCCATGCCTGATCAAAACTGTAGGATTAATGCAGTTTAATGCCACCGTTAACAGCCATGGCTCCATGCTATGGAATCCTGGGAGTTGCAGTTTGATGAAGTACAAGCACTCTTCGGCAGAGGAGGCTAATCACTGTAAAACTACTGCCATCTCTTAGCATCAAGCAATGGCAGATTTTCAAAATCATATCATAATCGACTTGAGAAACTGCAAGTTGCTTTTCATGTCAGCAGAGATGTTGCTCAGGGGACGCCCAGATGTGTTACCATCCTGTGGGAGGCTTCTCTCAGGTCCCCGCATGGGAAGCTGGAGCTGACAGACAGGAGCTCGTCTTCAGGTCAGCAGTTCAGCCAGATTCCAACTCCCACAATTCCTAGCAGCATGGGCAAACTTGGGTCCTCCAGGTGTTTTGGACTCCCAACTCCTACAATTCCTAGCAGCCAGTAGGCTGTTAAGAATTGTGGGAGTGGAAGTCCACAACACCTGGAGGACCGAAATTTGCCCATGCCTGGGTTAACCCATTGCACCACCGCAGCTTCCACTACCATGGCAGTCAAAGTGGTGTCAAACTGCATTCATTCTTCAATGGAGATGCATCCGTAGATACCAACAGACACCACCCTGGATCCGTCTTCTGAGGCTTAAGGTGCACCTTAAGGTCTAACTGATATCTAATAGGAGCTACAGTCTAACAGTTGACACCCCAAAAGCTGGACTTTACCTCTCCTTGCCTCAACATCTAATATGTTTGATTTAGAATACAACCCACTGTCTCATGGGCGGTTGCCTGACATCCTTGTTGTTCAGAGTGGAGCCATGTGTAGCATAAAGAGTGTGTGGACTGAGTCAGGTGATGCCATTAGAGGGGCCACAACCAAAAATATCTAAATTTTGTGCAGTGTTTCAGCCTTTGTTTGTTTGGTTTTTTTTTAATCCCTGTAGCACAATATAACACAAAGTAGTGTTCCCTCGCTCGCTACTTTGTGGTTCGCTTTTTTGTGGACTCACTGTTTTGCGGGTTTTTGCCTCCTGGCAACGATGGAGTGTGGAAGGCGGTTTCACCCTCCCCCTCGGGGGAGAGACAGCCAATCATAAAAAGAGAGAGAGAGGCACGGCCTTATAGCCCCTTATAGCTAACAAAGAAAAAAGAAAAAAAAGAAGTGTGCAGTGCCTTTAAATCTCTCCTTGCTTCTACCTCACCCTCAGAATGCAATATATATATATATATATATATATATATATATATATATATATATAGCATCCCTACCTTGCAGATTTTCACTTTTTGCGGGTGGTCCTGGAACATAACTCCCGCGATAAGTGAGGGAACACTGTAACCTCAAAAACAACTGTGTATGTCCAGTTTAAAGGTAAAGGTTACTGCTTGACATTAATTCTGTCATGTCTAACTCTGGGGGGTAGTGCTCATCTCCATTTCTAAGGAGCGCAGTTACCTTCCTGCCAAACATATTGCTCTATTCACATTTGCATGTTTTTGAACTGCTAAGTTGGCAGAAGCTGGGGCTAACAGTGAAAATTCACCCAGCTCCCCAGATTCAACCCGCTGACCTTTTGGTCAGCAAGTTCAGCAGCTCAGCAGTTTAACCCACTGAACCACCAGAGGCTTCAACTTATATCCTTTATCCAGCATTCTGAATCCAGTAGGCTCTCAGGCTGCTTCTATTCAGCCACATAATAATAGTAGTAGTAGTAATAATAATAATAATAATAATAATAATAATAATCAACTTTATTTATACCCCGCCACCATCTCCCCGATGGGGACTCGGAGCGGCTTACATGAGGCCAAGCCCAACAACACAATACAATAAATGATGTCAAAACACACACAATAACGTGATAAATTACATGAAACATAAAAATACAGCAAACAATTTAAAATTAAAATCAATCATAACGCAGTGATTGTGACAGTGACAGTGAATGGGCCGCATGTACAGAATAATATACTAAAGCTAAAAACTAAAAACATGGGGTGATATAGGGATGGAGCCGATTATTTGTGAAAGAGAAAATCTTCGGAAATGAGGTCAAGAAGGATCAGAATGTGGATTAAAGAAATCCAGTCTCCACATGGACCTTCAGGAACCGCAAAAAAGTTCCCACATAGTCACAAGGCTCCCCTCGTACCAAATTGATCAAGAGGAATATTTTTTTCCCCTTACCTGGTTGGAAGAAATGCACCAATTGCAGCAGCTCTTTGGATGAGAATCAGAAGTAGAACTCATCTTCTAGCTAAAAAAAAAAAAAAGGGGGGGGGGAGGGGAGGTGTTCATTTACCTCACTGAGAGCACCATATCCAGTTCCTTCATTTGAATTTTCCAGTAGTGCTTCTGTTTACATAAGTGCTGCGCATGTTGCTCTAGAATTTTTGCTCTGCCACATCCATTCACTGATCAACTGCAGTGAACCGTAGTGATGCAATGGGTTAAACCCTTGTTCCAGCTGAACTGCTGAACTGAAGGTCCACGGTTCGAATCCGGGGAGTGAGGTGAGCTCTTGTCTGTCAGCTCCAGCTTCCCATGCATGGACATGACTGAAGCCTCCCACAGGATGGTAACACATCCAGGCGTCCCCTGGGCAACGTCCTTGCAGATGGCCAATTCTCTCACACCAGAAACTACTTGCATTTAATCTCAAATCACTTCTGACACAAT